CCAGGGTTTCTGCCCCCAACACCGAGGCCTTCACAGCCCGGGCTGTGTGTGGCTCCTTCCCGGCGAGCACCGGGAGGTGTGTGTGCGGGGCAGGGGACACATGTCGGGTGCTTGTGCACAGGAAGGCCACACGTTTGGTGCCCCTTGTCACAGTGAGCCCAGTTCCTGTTGGGTGTGTTGTAAACAGAGAGCCATTTCTTCAGGCACCCTGCTCTGAGCACACCCCGCCACTCTCCCCACCCCCTCGCGCCCCAGAGCCTCCATCCCTGGAGTGGATAGCCAGGACACGCAGTGGCTTCCTCAGCCAGACTCGCACCCCAGGAGGGCGCCAGGGTGAGACAGGGAACGTGGTCGGTACTTACTTCTGCCTCACAAAGTCGGATGTAATGAGCTTCTTCAGATCGCCAAGGAATGGGTGCCTCACCCTGAGGGCAAGGAGAGAGTCCATGACTCGAGCGGGCGGCAGTGCCCGCTGTGGGCAGGAGCACTCGCCACCAGGACCGAGCGCTTCCCGGCCCGTGAGGCCTGGGCATGCAGGGGTCTGACGGCCACTCGTCTGGCAGCGATGGCCTGCACAGGGTTTTGAAGGAGCCCCGGGTTCTGGTGCTTTGTCTTAGCTGCCCTCTGGGGGACAGAGAGGGGCCACGGAGCAGAGGGGGCCCAGAGTTCAGGACCATTTCGCCATGCACCCTGGTGAGAGGCCCCGTGGGCTCGGCCTGGTCGAGGGCGCCCACTCCCCTGCACCAGACCATCGGGCCGGTGGGACCCTGGGGCTTGCTGGGCCCAAGGACAAGCTGAGGGGCAGCGAGAGCCCAGGGGGTCCAATCATACCCAGGGCGCAGTCCCATCTTGCGGAGTGCCTCCCACAGGACAGCTGCCGGGGCAGATGAGGTACAAGAGTTTAGAACACGGAGGCGAGACAGGGGGCAGCCCCCCAGCGGCGGGCCCGACAACTCACCCTCGCTGACACGGTTGCCATTCATGAAGATGACTCCCAGGATCACCAGGAGGAGGCTCAGCCTGGGAGTGTCCTTGGTCCTAGCGGTGTAGAAAGAGGGAACCTGTCCAGCAGCCGTTGGCCCAAGAGACCGCACACCCAGCTCACCCAACCAGCCTCTCCCGGGCTGCTCCCTGACAGGGCAGTCAGCTCTTCCCACTCTGCCCACGGCTGGCTACTCGATCCGGACAGCTCGTCCCTCCGCTTAAGGCTGCATAAGTCCATCCACCCAATGTGGATGCTAACACAGCTCCCAGGATTCTGCCACTTGGCAGTCATGGGTGCCAAGCCCCGAGGGTGGGCACTGTGCCCTGTCTTCCTGTTGCTCCGAGAGGAGGGGCACGCACCACCTGGGAAGGCCACAGACCCCCTGCCCTTTCTCACTTTCCCAGGAGGCGAGCTGAGGAATCCCGCGTGCAGGTGAGAATGTACAGGTGTTCTTCCTTGTCGATCTCCTTCAGGTGGATCCCGAACTTCTGCACGGGGAGAACACAGAGTGTGAGGTCAGAAACCCATGCCAGGTGTCCTGCTGGCAGGCACTCCATTCCCGCCAGGGCAGCTCCTAGGCAGGACACCCAAAGTGCTGGGGGAGCGCGCCCTGGACAAAGGGAGGGCGCGCAGACGCAGGCCTGTGGGGAGCTCTGGCACTGGCCCAGGCAAAGGGACCCACTTCAGGAGACAACAGACGCCCCCGCCCCCCGCGAGAGCACGAGGGGGAGGAAGTATGCTATGCCCGCGGAGGGAGCTCCCAGGTGCAGAAGCCAGGCAAGGCTTGGGGAACGGGCAGGACTGACACTGGGCCTCCGAAGGCTACAGGGGGCAGGGCTTCCCTGCCTCTCCTGCCCCACAGAGCTGTCCCCCACCCCCACCCCATGCAGCCCACCTTTTCCAGCGTGTATGTCGCCCGCTCAATGATCTCAGGAAAGTGCTCGTCAAATTCGCGGATGACGTCCTTCATCATGTCTGCAGGGGGGTGGGGGGCGGGAAAGCATCTGGGCTGAGCAGAGGGCCACAAGGCTGCAGCCCCTGGGTAACCGGGAGCCTCTGATGGGTGGGGCACTGGGGAGGACTGGGAGAGAGAGAGGGCAGACAGAGCTCAGGGATGGGGCAGTTGCCCACCTGAGCGCTTGATGGGGATCTTCTTGTAGTCCTTGATCATCAGGTACTTGACCAGCTTATTTGCCTGGACAAGGAGAGGCGAAGGAACAGGTGAGCTCAAGGAACCGGCCAGCCAGGAAGGGGAGGGGTGGCGGAGGGGGGAGGGCGGAGGGCAGACTCCTTACCCTATCTTGCAGAAGGGCCACGTTGCGGGGTGGCAAGCTCAGGACGTGCCTCGAGGGCACCTGGGGCCTCTGGGCCGCCGGGGGCCGCGGGCCCATCTGAGCCCGTGGGGCCATCTGAGCCCGCACTCTCACTATGGGCTGCGATGCTCTCCAGGTCGCTGGGACCACAGGAGGCTCTCTCTCGTCCTCGCTGCTCTCATACTCATAATCCAGGTGCTTGGACTGCAGCATTGGGGAGAAGAGAGACCCGGGGCCACCAGGCTTACTGTGCCCAAGCCCCTGGCAACATCTTTTCCAGGGCACGCACTTGGACATGAGAGTAGTAGGAACGGCGGGTGGCATGTGCAGAGGGCTCACTAAGTGCCCGGCACCGAGCCAACCTCTTGTACCTCCAGGCCGGAGGGTAGGGACTACGTGTAAAGGAGTAAAGACATGCTAGCGCACTTGTGTTATAGAAACTCGGACGCGTTGAGAGAAGAAGAGGGCAGGGGAGAGGAGGGGAGGGTGGGGAGGGGAGGGCAGGGGAGGGGAGGAGAGGGGAGGGGAGCAGAGGGGAGGGGAGGGGAGCGGAGGGGAGGGCACAGAAGAGCAGGGGAGGGGGCCATTGGGGCTTGCAGGGAGATCTCACCTTCTTTGTTCTCTTGCCTCCCTTCCTGGCCTCATCGCGGTTCTTCTGAGCAGTGGCAGCTGCACCCTCAGGCTCAGGGGCGCTTGTGGCCATCTTGGCCTTGGCAGCAGCTGCTGCCACCACGTTCTGAGGCTCCACCCAGCGAGTCTTAGCGACAGCCTTCCCAGACTTGGCGGTCTTGGGCCTGGTGGCCGCCCCCTCCCCAGCAGATGCTGCCTGAGCACTGGGGCCCTCTGAGGCAGGCTCTGGGGCCGGGGCGGGCCTCTTAGGGCGGGGGAAGGCTAGGCCACTGACGCCTGCCGGCTGGGTGAAATCAAAGCCATCATTCTGGCCCAGGAAGGGTTTCTTGGGCTGGGTGGCACCCCCCTCACTGGCACCTGCAGCCCGAGAGGAAGCAGCCTCCCGGGCCTGGGAGGCTGGCTGGGGCTGTGAGGAGGTTGCAGGCGCCCCCGAGGAGGTTGCAGGCGCCATCTCACCGTTGCCTGGCCCCTGGGAGCTGCGCGAAGAAGATGCCGAGCGCTGGCCATTTTCTCTGGAGGCAGGCCCTGTGGTCATGAGGCGGCTAGTGACCACCTGATTGTAGAGGGCACGGGCGGCAGCCGCAGCAGCCCGGGCAGCAGCCCGGGCAGCTGTCCGGGCAGCACGGGCGGAGTCACCTCGGCCTCCATTGCCAGACTGGTCGTCCTCCTCATTGGGGGCCGGATCTGTATCCGCTCGGAACGCATCCACCAGGGTGCGGGCCAGCATAGGGTGGTCCAGTTCCCAGGGCTCATTCTGCAAGGCCGGGGCGAGGGAGGGGGAGGCACACCACTTTGCACCCTTGCGCATCTTGCTTCCCTGTGCTGGCCAGCCTCCTCCGGGCAGCCCCCCACCCCACCCACACAGCCCCCCCACACCCCCAACCTCCCAACCCCTGGAACCCCCTCCACCCCACTTCTCCCAGCAGGAAAGGGAAGGTTTCCCTTGGGGTGCTAGGCAGTGCTTCCCCGTCACCCCTCCCCTCCACCCCCTTCCCTCTGCACACAGCCCCCCTCCCAGCCCAGCAGGCTAGCAGGTGGCCAAGAAGGGGCCTCACCGCCAAGACACGCAGGCTTGTTCCCAAGCTCCCAAAGGCGCGGAGGAGATGAATGTCAAAGCTGGTGAAGGTGCCATAGCCCCCGAAAGCACCGAATTCCTCGTAATCATTTCCGTCAATTCCGTCAAACATCTCGTACTCCCTCACTTCCTCCAGACCGTCCTCCATGATGTCTTCAACGTTGTTGTTGTTGTTGTTGCTGCAGCATTCCGCTTCCATGGGGGAGCTTCCCTCAGCCATGCTGGGTCCCAAGAAGAGAGCTCAGCCTGAGAGGGAGGGGGCCTCTTCAGAGGGAGGCTGGGGGGGGGGGGAGGCAGCGGAGGCGGGGTTTCTCAGGAGGTGGGATTTCTCAGGAGGTGGGATTTCTGGGGAGGTGGGGGGAGGGCGGCAGGCAGCCATCATCCCCTCACTGGGCAGAAGGGTGGGGGGGGGGGTCTGTTGGGGTCCATTCTGTCAGAGACAGAGCCCTCAGACAGGGCGAGAGCAGGTCCAAGGAGATCTCCTCCTCCCCTCCCACCCGCCACACCCCCCCTCCGCATTGAAAGGGGAGTTGAGGTCCAGGCAGGCTCCCCATCGCGGTGGCTGGCGAGATTTGAATGGAGGGGTGGACCAGCGGGCTCTGGGCTGCAGAAACCCCAACGGGGATGATGGATGCATCCATAGAAGGGGAAACAAAGGGCCCGGATTTCAGGGCTGGAGCAGGGAGCCGGGATGAAGGGGAAGCCCAAGGGGTGTGAGGCGCGGATACCTGGGGACCACGGGGAGCTCCGAATGCCAGGGACCCTTCGGCGAGGCCTGGGTGGGAGGGGCAGCGGTGGGAGGGATTCGAGGGATTCTGGTCGGGTCGGGTAGGGCTCACTCAGGAACGCCAGGGGAAGATGGGGGGGCGACGGCGGGGGCAGGGAGGGCGGCGGGTCCGGGCGAGGTTCCAATGAGAAGCGGGGGTCTCCGAATGCAGGATTGCAATGCCAGGGCAGGGAGGGGTCTGGAGTGGCTGGGTGGGGACAGGGCCTGTTTCTAGAGCAGCTCAGCCCCAGCACAACGGGTCCAGGCGTGGGCTCCGGTGTCACCAGGGCTCGGATCCCCGGAGCTCGCGTCCCAGGATGGGGAGGATGGGGCTCCTGTCCAGACCACGGGTCTAACGCGGTTCTGTTTCGGGTTCCGAGTGCTGCGGGAGGGGGCGGGGGAGCGCTGCAGGGGGTGGCGTGCGCTGTCCCGGGAGGAGTGGCGCAGCATGCAGGGGTCCACTCGCCTCTCCAGGTCCCGTCCGGGCTGGATCCTTACCTTCGCTGGGGCTCCAATGGCGTCGCTCCTCAGCACCAGGAACCCCGCAGCCGCGCCCTCGCCTGCTGCTGCCAGCACAGCAGCTCCGACCACCCCGCCCCTTTTCTCTGCACACCCCCCGCGGCTGGGCAGCCTGCGCATGCGCCGACCCCTTCAGCCCGCCCGCTCTCCCAACAAAAGCCCTGTCCACCGGGTCCCCAGTGCGCATGCGATTCCGCGGGTGTGCGGGCTGCAGGGCGTGGGGGTGGGGAGCGGGGTGGGGGCGTTTTCTGCTTCCCGCCACATTCCCCTGTCCACCCCTGCCGGGGGCTGCAGGGGCGCGCGCTCAGACCCACCCAGTCAGCACCCCCCACCTTGGCAGCTCTGCCCTCCCTCCCCCTTTCGCCTGAGCGCCCCCAGGGTGGTCTGGAACCCACCGCGCCCTGGCTCTGCAGCATGACCGCTAGGTCGCAGACACACAGCCCTCTAGCAACGAGGGAGGGAGATGCGAATGGCCAGAGCAGGCCAGCTCCCTTTGTGTTCCCCTCCACTGTCCATCTCTGTGGCCTCCAGGCAACTGGGAACATCTGCCTCCTCCAGCACTCTATGCAGCTTGTCCACCACAGCCAGGTCTGCGCCTGGGCTTGCCTTCCTCCCAAGGCTGCCCTGGGAGGTGGAATTCAGCATCCCCATTTTACAGATAAGAAAGCCGAGTCACACAAGCACTGCACCAACTGATTACACCAGGCTCCAGAGCCAGGAAGCAGAAACGCAGAATTTGGGCCCCATGTCCGCCCGGGGCTGGCCTGGGGACCCGGGCATCCTCCCACTCTTCAGGTTCCGCCACAGCTCCCCCACCCCCCTGCCCTGCCCTGCCCTGCCCTGCCCTGCCCTGCCCACATCTGTCCCAAACAAGCAAGGTTGCCTTCCCTGAGCCCCAAGCTCCTGCTCTGCGCCCAGGAGGACACAGGTGGAGGGCCCCAGCCCCAGCCCTGCCCACTCTGCGTGGACCCAGCCAGGGGTGGGGATTGCTTGCCAAGCGGGGTCCACTGCCCGCTCCCACTGTCAGGCCTTTCCTGAGTGGCACAGACACGCCGCCCCCGAGGCCTTCCCGGTGCCCACTGAAGCGGCAGGACAATCAGGCACTTGTGTGTGGGAGCCATGGCAAGCCCCGGTTCAGAGTAAATGTTTGTCCTGCTTCCTTCCAGGGCTGGGGCCTGGGGCAGCTGTGGTCTTGCAGGGAGAAGCTGCGCTGGGCTTCAGAATCCCAGGGACGGAGTGCCTGGCCAGTCTGGCCCTAGCTGTGTGAGCCTGCTCAGGTCACTGGGCATCTCTGAGCCCAGTGTCTTCTCCATATGCAAAATGGCAAGCACAAGGACTGGGGAGGCTGCTTTGGAGGCAGGAAATGCTATGCTCTCATCTCAAATGGAAACTGCACGTTTTACACAGACCTTACTCACTTCTATGTGCGGGGAGTGTGTGAGTGTGTGAGTGTGTGTGTGTGTGTGTGTGTGTGTGTGTGTGTGTGTGTTTTAATTCAATTCAGAGAGGAAGGCAGAGGGAGAGACCTCCTGCACGCCTCCCACTGAGGATGGAGCCCGCAACCCGGGCATGTATGTGCCCTTAACTGGAATCGAACCGAGGACCTTGCAGTCCGCAGGCTGTCGCTCTGTCCTCTGAGCCAAACCAGCTAGGACTATGTGCGTTTTTTTTTTTTTTTTATATCAGCCTCTCCAGGACTCCTGTGCATGAATAGAAACCATTGCTAGGACCACGGCTTTTACTCTCCAGTGACCAATATCAATTCTGCCTGGCTGAATGGCTTTCCTCTGCTGTTGCATAGCAACCGCCCTTGTCAGCTGCCTGCCTCTGTCTCTTCAGCCCTTCCTGGGTAACACGTTTCTGTGGGAGGTGAGCAGACCTAGACACTGCGAAAGAAAGCCTCAGCAAACCGCCGCCATATGCTGAGGAAAGAAAAGGCTGTGTTCCCGTCTCAGATCCACCTGTGCTTTTCAACAAAACCCGTAGTGGGCCTTCATATTCCTTTTGCTTTCCGTTTTATTTTCAATTTGCATTGAAACCTGATCGACATACTACATTGTATTAGTTTCAGGTGCACGACATAATGACTCGACATTCGAATACGTATATTGTGAAGTGATCGTCACAGCAAGTCTAGGGCCCAGCCGGCGTGGCTCAGTGGTGGAGCATGGAGCTATGGACCAGGAGGTCACGGTTCAATTCCCCGTCAGGGCACATGCCCAGGTCAGGGCTCCATCCCCAGTGTGGGGCGTGCAGGAGGCAGCCGACCCATGATTCTCTCTCATCGCTGACGTTTCCAACTCTCTCTCCCTCTCCCTTCTTCTCTGGAATCAATAAATATATATATTTAAAACAACAACAACAGAAGACACGGCACAGTAAGCCTAGGTAACATCCCTCACCACACAGTTACAATTTTTTCTCATGTTCCCAACTTTGATCACATTCCCTTTTGTATCCGCCTCTCTGTATGCTATGTGTTATGTAACCATGTGTGCTAATATGCTAATAACTCTAAAATCTATAGCCCCAGTTTGACCCTCACCTTTGGGATACAGACCCATATAGTCCCTCTCCTACATGACACTTCCACTTGGATGTCTCAAGGGATCCTCTTAGAAAAGTCTGTTTAGAGCCAGTACTACCCACCCCTTCCACTCACTCGCGGCCCCTCCCCCCCCCGTCCCCCACCCACACACACACCATCCCTCCTCTTGTTTTCAAAACGCCCATCTTCACAATCTCAGCAAATGGCAACATTTTCCACACAACTGCTCACTGCGGGATATGGAAGGCGACTACCACCACTCCCTCTCTCTCAGACACTGCACCCAGATGGGAAACCTCTGCGGCTCTCCAGAGCCAACCAACTCTCTCCCCTCCATCACTCCCAGCACATTGGCCTCCAGGCATTCTCAGCTCTGTGTCCTTTGCTCAGATTACCCCCTGGGCTCTGTTTGTGTTCAATCTCCTTGTGCTACAGCCTGCCTGTAAACGCTATCCAGGCAAGAAGCTGGGAGAACTGGGCTCACCCATCGGAGGCTCACCTTGTGTTAGTTTCCCTTCCCCAGGGAATCAGTGTTCTGTGTGACCCATGATGCCATGACCTAAAGCTTTATGATTTTTTTTTGGGGGGGGGAGGGGGGAAGAAGGGGGAAGGAAGGCAGGGTTTATAGATATTCAGGTGGGAGAGCCAATTGGCTCCTAGGTACGTGTGCATCCTGGTTTTAATTGTTTCACTGATTCTTTTGCTTTTCCGATGCTCTCAAGTTCTTATATACAGCTAAATCATGATGTGCAGACATGACAGTTTTCTATCTTGTTCTCCCAACTAGTTACCTTATCTTCTAAGCAGCAAATCAGAAAAAAAAAAATATATATATATATATCAAATGAAACAAAAAATACAGAATAATTTAGAGGACACGTGATAAGAATTACAGGACATTTCTCATCAGAAGCAATGCAAGTCAGAAGAAAATGGCATGCCATCTTTGAAACTGTGAAATAATAACTTTCAAATCAGAATGTTACACTCAAGGGATATTTTTTAAATGAAGCTAAAATAGAAGTTTTTCATACACACCAAATTTGAAATAATTCGTCATCCGTTGATACGCACTACAGGAAATGTTAAGACATAAGAACGTGTTCTGGCATAAGAAAAATAAAAGTAAATGGTAATATGGCCCACCTACGTGAGTAATCAATGCTGTTAATCGCAGATACGAGAATTGATATAAAATGCTTGCCTTCTTATGTTTAAATTTTTTGGGGGGTGTAATTGATGGTGTGAAGCAAAAATTCATAGATTGCATTATGTAGTTTTAAGTTATGTAAAATTAATTTCCTGGGCAAAAATAGCCCAAGCAATGGGGGAAATATAAATATACTGTTGTGAGATTCTAAATTTACATATGAGGTTGTACAACATTACCTAAAGGTAGACTGTGCTAAGTT